CGGACCGCGGGCTTAGAACTCTAGACTCAAATTCTGATATTTGATAATGGAAGCCCTTAGTAAACCCTACAAACAATATTCTATTTATTAACACTAAAGCATAAATATTTATAGCGTAATTATTGGTTTATTTACAATGCACCTTCATTCTTTTTACTGCACGTGTCCTATATACAAATTAATTTCTGTATGTGTGTGTGGTGTTCTGTTACAGCGCGAGAATGTATTTTTTTTATTTTCACCAAACTTGGCTTATTTATTCACTGAGACGAGGAACAGATTTCATAAAGGTCAGAACTCTGTAAAAAGTGCCTGAGTTTGAATCCCTGTGAGGGTAATTTCTATAGCTCGGAGATAAACGCGATTGAAAAGCAGCGTCAAGACGAAAGTCGTTTATTTTGGCGAGCAGACTACAGAAATAAAGGCCAAAATCCCGAAAAACTGTCTTGGGTTCAAGTAACAGTGAACATGTTTTCTGTAGGTAGGAAACCAAGTACTGTAGAAGACCGGCTACAATATTAAATTATTTGTTTCGGCTAGGATATTACAGGAATAAACACCACAACCTAAGAAACTGCCCTGAATTCCAGTCCCGATCAAGATGGTTGCTGCAGCTTCAAAACTAAGTACAGTTTTTGTTCTGCAGAGAAGATTACAGTAACAAAGACCAAAACCCGGAAAATCTGTCTTGGGCATGAGTCCGGATAAGATTATTTCTTTAGCTCGGAAACTAGACATCACGGAAGAACACGGCCAAGACAAAGGTTGATTGTTACAGTAGAGATATTATAGGAAAAAAGGTCTCCACTTTGATAAAAAGTCTTATAATCGTCGTCGGTGATGGTTCTTCTTTGTAGCTGAGAAACTAAGATCGATAGAGGCTTGAAACGCGACGCCCAGCGTCGCAAAATAGTCAGGTGGCAGCATTTATCTTTCACGGAAAATCGTAACGCAATTTGGACTAATTCTGAACTAACAGAACCTAACGCAAGGTGTGTCTTCTGGACAGTAGAACCGCGTAATCCGGCGAAAGTTTACTCTCCGCCCTCAAAATGGAGGCATATACATGCAGGTTCATAAAACTGTAAACTGAATATAAAGGAAAAAGAAAGCTTCAGGTGAAGAAGGGGCCGGTTCCACTTCTATACAAGGACTTGCTGCCATTTCACAAATTTTACTCGATTTTTCTCGCTTACTACAAGGACAGTAAATAAAGAAGGAAGAAGTACATTTTTCCTCTTTTATCACTAATTTTTAACACTCGGTACAACGTCGCACGTTTGACTTTTAAATTATTAATCGACGCCTTTTCAGGATCGTTGGTTATTATGCGTCGATACAGGCTGATAAAGTTGAACACAGCTGTCACTTCCCGACTTCCGGCTGGAACTGCGTGGTTCACCGCTAAGTTTCCCCAATACCAGTCAAGCTTCGCTATTTAAAACAATAAAACCAACTTACTGTTTCACAGCAGTTCCTTCCGGGAGCCGGGAAATGACAGTCGCGTCGTGAATGCACTGTATATGGGCTTAAAACATGTTTTTGTTGTTACGGAAAACACTTAGAGTGGCCATTGTTGAGTTTAAATTTCGTTTTAGTCAACATACGCCCCGATACAAGAGCGACGTGTTTATTTGTGTTGGGAATGTTTTGACGTGCGTCTTTCCTTAGAAGAAATCAATCAGGACTGTGGAGACAGGGCGGTGTGACCAGTCGTCTTCCACTTGTACACCGCGTGCGGTTGGCAAGCTCTGATGACATCCTCCAAACATCTCCCTCGCTCAGTGCTATTCTCAGAGCGCCATTGCACTGGACTTGAAGTGGAAAGAAAAAAGAACCCATCCCACAGGCTCTGTATTGAGTTCCATTGTGGAAGCAGCGATTTCTCATGCTGGCCGCAGGTTTCTGATTGATTGGAGCAAAAGTTGTTTGCGTTTCCGATAGTGACTTTGAAGTGTCTTCCCTCGTTACTGGCACAGTCAGAAAGTTCTTGAGGTTGTTTCTAACTTGGTGTCTCAAAATGTTTTACAGATCAGAGTTCCTTATGCTGTTCTCCAATAATGGTCTTTTCACGATCCGTCTGTTTAATCAGATAACGGATTTGAATGTTACAGACCTGTTGACTGAATTTTGTTAAATTTAGCGTGAATGAAGTCTAAAACGGGGGGCGGGGGGTACCACATTCTAATTTATTAGTCCGAAGTTTTACTTCCTTATTGTTCAGAATTATCATTGTTGCTATAAGATTTTGTAATATGTTATTTTAACAAATCACGTGTATGTGGCGACGCTTCTGATGGTAATTCTTCATTGTGCCTCATATGTGATTAAAGTTACTGTGTTTCACATTAAGGTTATTAAAATGAAGACCATTTTCTTTAAATCCAAGGTATTTAAAAGTATTAATTTGCTAATCATAATTTTCTTTGTAACAATACCGATTTTTATTGGAGGGTTTATTTAGTTGGTTCTCATGTAATGCATTTTTGACTTTTGTTTCCGTACAAAAGAATAATTAAAAATCAAAGTCGGTATCTGATACGGTTTAGCTAAAATATTTGAATTTTTTCTCCCATTGCTGGACTGAGTACCATTGCCTTTATTGCCAGACACTTAATCATTAGTTAAGTATGTCCATACCTTACAGTGACTTTGAGTAGTGTTGTGGGGTGTCAGCTTACACGTCTTGTAGTTAATGCGAAGTAACTTATTGATGCTGTGCTTCTTTATTACGCCGTCTCCTTTACAGGAGGTTGGCGACATTATGAACAGGATCCTTCCATCCTTTTCTCGGACTGGGACCTGTTCATATATGTTTTTAGGCAGGTGATCCAGAAGTGGTTTGCCATTGCCTTCTTCTGTGTGTGAATTGAGTAATTGTTGGGATACCACGGAGAAACCGGGGAAGCCCCGGAGGAAAACTCCGTGTTGCCTAGACCAAAGCCTTGCCCAACACAATTTATAAATTCGGGCACCGCCGGAAATCGAACCCGGGACCCCGATGCTGTGCTTGAACAACTGAAATTACGTACCTTCGAAAAAAACTTGAACAGCGGTAGAAGCCTATTTTATATCATCTTGGTCTGTTTAATTACGCTTTGTGATCTGCATTGGTTATATAGTACGGAAGAAGAAATTACACTAGTCCTCAACGTATTAAATAAATTACAGTTTTATTTGATCTAGGCGTATGTTGAAGATGACTGACTGTCTTAGGCTCACCGCCGTGAAAACATCAAATCATATATAGGCGTACTTCATTTCGGCTGTTGGTATGGTTTTAATTTATATATTTTGTTCCATGCTTTGAGCTTTTCACGACGATGGACACGTTGCCTTGACAATTGAAGCTTTAAGATAATCCGAAACGTTGGTAAACACTTACAAAACTACACGGAGTTATAACCCGGAAAACCACTGTCGACATATTTGCTCGGTTAGCCCGTGACTGTGTTAATTGCAGAGGATATTACGCGCCGCGTGAATGAGAGGACGAGTCGAGGGTGCTTATTATGGAAGGAGAAAGCTTGGTCTGCTTGGAGCATTGGAGTGGCAGAGAAAAACGACGAAATACTGTCAGGATAGTCGGTCCAAACCAGAGATAAGAATCTGGTAAGTAACGAAGATACGTGGATCTTACGTCAGGAAGATTTGGAATACGCATGATAAAAATAAGTGAAGACTTTTATGCCAGTCCAAGTTCATAGATCGATTCCCGAACGGGCTGAACCTTGAGATGAGAGGTAAACCAGGCTTTGACATGTTAATCTGGTTTATGTAAAAGAAGTAGGCGTGATTAAATGGTATTTGGTACGCCTTACTTCATCCAAATTTGATTGAATTTATTAATTTTAGCCTTGTTAAACGTATTAAATTGGAAGAAAGTCGCTTGAACGTCTCTCTTCTCGACTTTCCGTCTAGAGGGAACGTGAAACAAACAAAGATTGCGCAATCGTTTAAGTTGTTACGCAACGTACACTTAAGACTTTCCAGATGTGGAGTAATGATTGCATTACAACCATCGCCTCACTGCGACTGACCAATGAATTTGAATATGGCTTATAGGCGCGTTCCCGCCGTTAAGGGGTGATTTTGGGTTAACGAATCAGATCGCCGTATTTAATTCGAATTTAAGAACAGTTACGAGTTGCGTGTGTATTTAAAGAGCGATTGTGTTATTGCGAAGCTCTCTAAAATTTTGATCTTCAGGTCGTGCAGACCGTTCTACACGTACTTCAGATTTTTTATACAAACAGCCGAATCATCGCACTGCCTTGCATTAACTGTAACTGGTTATACTTCAAAGTGTCTCAAGAGGCAATAAAGTGAACGTCTTTCAGCTCACCAGTGGAGTCTTTAGTTGTCCAAGGCAAGGATTTTGCGTCCTCCGCAAAACATCAACCCCACCACTGCCTTCCCCGTACATTCCCTGGGAATCAGAAGCCCATACTCACCGACAAAACCCACACCCGTTATTTTAATTTCATTAAATCCCTTTCACTCATCATAAGTACTAAAAGTTGTAACCGTACGAGCGCCAGGCACGTCACTGGGTTTGACCCGTGGCTTCAACAAATAAACAGCGAGTCGAGTGTTTGGAAGGACAGTTAAACTTTCAAAGCCTCAGTCGGGGTTTGATGTAAGACCGTTTGAATGCGAGTCGACCGAACGAAGAACGTCTAACTGGCCGCCGAATGGTCGTCTAGTTACACAGGAGCTGAATAAAAAGCTGACGTAACCTAACCTAACCTTCTTCACTCAGCAGCAGTGTTAATGTGTCTTTAGTCAGAGAACAAGATCTCAGACATAAATCATGTACCGATCTCGGCAAAATCAGAACAATATGTGTGAAACAAGAGAAAGAGAGAGTGGGAGGTGCCGAGGAGTCTGCGCCATAGTTCGCAGCATGGTCACGAGATGGCAGTCGGAGCATGGGGTCCGCGATTTGACTCCGGAATATGGCTCTTTCCGCGCAGGAGCCAAGCAGCCCGACGGGTTGCCTATGTGAGAGGAACAGTTGGAGGGAGGGCGGGTGGACCAACTGATAGTACACAGCGTACCGGTACGGATCTCATGCAGTGCGGGGATAGCTGAAACAAGGAGCGGTACAGAAGTGTGTTTGTCTCACTAGTAAGCCTCCATTTGGCTTGTCCGCAGACTCTCCTTGTCTCCTGCCCGCGTATCGCCTGTCAGATATCTGACGGCACCAACGACTCATAGACCTGGAGTCGAAGGTAAATTCTCGTCGGATTAAAAGGCCAAGAGCGCCTAACAAAAAAGCAATGGAACAGGCCGAACAGCGTCTTCAAGAGATCTTGGGGCGAGCCGAGAAATTGGGTATTCCTCCGAAGGGTCTAGTTGGTCTTGGCGCAGTCAAGAAGTTGCTGGACAGGCGACATAAGTCGACACAACACGCGGTGGTCCCCGTCCTCGCCGGAATCCTCAGCGTCACGATTGCCCTTGTATATTATTTGGGACTGCACACGCATTACGGATTTTCTCGTGCTTGGCTCAAGTGGCACCATCAGGATCTCTACGATCAAATGGTGAGTACGTTTTGCTCTTTGACGTTCTGGTCTTTTAATGTTTTGTGTGTGAACTCATCTGTCGTGCAGGAAGCACGTTGCTGTGGATGTTGCATCGAATGCATGTGAGAACTCAATGTTTGGATCTATAGAATGCCATTTCTCTTTAAAGTTGGCATAATTTTCACATTTTGTCAAGTGACGAGCAAAATGATTAATTTTATCGCCACTGAAATCGGGGTTCAGCAAGTGTAACAAAGGCTGTCTGTCGTATCATAAGCATAAGTAACTAGTGCTTAGTGTATAGAATCGTTTAATCACTTTTTTATTAAACCCCCATTAAGTCACCATTTCGTTATTTAATATGCTAATAGTGGGACATGTGATATTTAAACTAAGCGCTAAGAAATTAACCCCTTTACATTATAAAATCATTCAGAAGGTTTTAAAATTATATCCTAACCTATTATATATTTGTTTAAATGGTTTTATCGTGTAAACAGTGATGTATTGGTGAATGTATGTAGTTGTATTCGTATCTTATTTTTCTCCATATCAGATTACTTAGAGTATTATATCTTACACACCCTCTCTCGACTTACTCAGACACGCGTGATTTTATGTGAATAAGCATCGCTTTTCTGTCAGCAGCAGATACAGCCATACAAATAGCCTGGAAACTAATTTCCTTCATGCAAGAAAATTTTCACGTATAAAATATGTTCTAAAATAACTACATAAATTCATTTAATGAGACGTATGACATCAGATATAGCAGTGATTTATGAAGATGTAAATTTGGTAAGAAAGTGATAGTACTAGCAGTATTAATTATCTGGGTCGTCCACCTACTGACTTCAGGCAAAGTTGTTTCAAAGTGACAGCGAAGCGCACGTGCTAGATTAACACTTTTTCATGTTCGTACAAAGTAACCTTTTCGTAAAACAGAATGAAACGTTTCTGTTCTACACACTGTTCCGAAATTTGCAGATTTTGCGTGCTAATCTGTACAAATCTGTACATTTATACATCCCTGAAAATAGTCACAAATACAGCACTCAGTCTCAGGGAAGGGGGTATTCTGAAAAACCAGTCAGGTCGGTCGATTAATGTTAGCCGGTAGCGGTTATGCTTAATGTTCGTGGTTTTAGTAATACACAATACAGTCTGATGTTCATTCTAATACGCTTGACGTATGCTAAATATGTGTTTGATTAATGTCAGTCGTGCATAAAATAGGACATTTATTTCTACAGTAAAGAGTGTGATTTTCATCCAACGATACTGCTAAAGTCTAATCTCGGTTACATATTTTCTGTTTTTATTCTGTCCCTCTTCTGGGTTTCTTCCCTCATGCTGTCTTTAGAAGCAACTAGTTAAGCCTTCTTAGCTATTTCTTGTATGTTCTCCGATCTTCATGTCTCAAGAATAAACTTTTCTTAAGCATCAAGCCGTAATAATTAGAACGTATTATTAAATGGGCTACATAGTATTTTGAAATATTCAGCATTTACACAGTGAATGAACACTAAAATCCTCTCGGGTGACCAGACATTTAAATGACGACTTAGAAACATGTTTCGAAGATTTACTCAGCCTCCATCATCAAGGTCAGTTGATCCTGAGAATATTTTATGGTACGCAGTATTTTGTAACAATTTTGTTATAATCTGGACCTGATAGCTATTATTCTCACCTATTATCTTATTTATTTATAGTTTATTTAAAGAAATTTTCCGTAGCTCAGGTCATATAGCTTCGAATGAGGGATGATTAATAAGTAATTAATTGGAAGGGGTGTGGAAGGAATCAGTCGTGGCCTAATGAAGTTACTATACCAGCATTTGCTTGAACAGACTGAGGAAACAACACACGAAACACCTTCCAGGATAGCCGGTTTCTTGACCGAGATTTAAAAATGAAACCTTCCGAATACAAAGCTCGAGCACTAACCACTAGACCACAACGTTTGGTACACATATCATAACCTCTGCAGTTGAGAGAGCGTTGTGAATAATGCACGAATCAATCTGTGCGAATGTAGGGAATGAGTCGGCGGTAGCTTGACGGTAAATAGGATGTGGGTCATAGGGTTCGTGCGCCCTAGCACTTGCTATTCAGAAGTTCCAGACACCAGAGAGCGTAGAGAATGAGGTATTGGCAAACCAGATCACAAAGGAATGAGAATTTTTGCGTTTAGAAAAAAAAACCAATTTATCAGCCGTTAGCATGCAGCTGTCTAAATAAGGAAAACGCAGTATCAGATAAGTACAGAAATGGAGGATCCTGAGGTAAGAGATTCTCACTTCAACTCTGAAGAGGCTATATGATCCTTCGAAAAGTAAGTAACGGCCTACAAGTCTACACGGGGCTGCAAATAGAAGACCTCAATCGGCAAAGACAGTCGATTAATATATTGATTTGTATTAAATATTCAGAAGTTCGGGAAAACAGTTAAGAAAAAAAATTATAGGTTTACAGTCAGCTGTCAGCAAGAAAATAATAATGAATTTATTTTGTCTTTAAGATTAGAGCGTAATCTGGGAGAAAAATATATAATAGATCTCGTAAGTAAAGTCCCTCTGGACGAAAATCGACGCAATTCTGTTGCTGGAAGGTTAAATTAAAAATCTAGTATTTGCTGGTAATAACGGTAGTTAATAAAGGTTGATTAAATTTTGTATTTGCTAACCCCAAAATTCTGTACTCGTTATCGCTAAAAGTCGATTTGGTTCCAAAAACCGATTTTGCAACAATTTAAAATAATTTCTCCGACATATACACATATCGGCGCTATCCCAACACGATGTCTCACTTTTAGATATTAAAGGTGTATGTTTTTTCTCACAAACAAAAAACATTCCACTTATTTTAAAATTGAGCTTCTAAGGTTCTCACAGCATTTAGCCTGAAGAGTCAGTAAGAGCTTCTGAAACGTCGATAAAATTTACCGGACTACAAGGCGCAACATTCCAGAAGACAGCCTATCTTTGGTTTGTATGCAATTAGGATTATTGCATCCAGACGGGATGTGAACTACAGGATGCAGAAGATTGCAGTTTTAATGCATTAAAACCCGTGCGCATTGATCCAGAAGTCCAAAGAAACGAAACTAGAGCTCCATCGCTGTGCCAGTCAATTCAGTGAAAAGAATTTAATTTTTTTTTAATATATAATGTTGGGTGTTTACATTTTATCCTGTATATATTCCATTTGTTTTGACGGATTGCTGTTTTGGCACGCATTAGAATATTACGCCTTTAAATTTATCTCTTTCTTTGTGTCGTCTGACACTTGCTAATGTTTATTGCATTTACGGACGCTCTTGGTCGTAATCGATTCATATTTAAGGGTTTCATAAAGCTTTATACAGTAATCGATAAGTAAAGTGGCGTCTAAATATGACGTTATTTCAACTAAGACTCTGGCTTTACCACAAACTCTTTATTTTTATTTGAACTATCCAGTCAGGAAAGAACAACGGATGACATTAAGAGAAAATAGTAGCCTACGATTGCCGTCCATATCATAACTCAGACGACTAGAGAGAGAGTACTGCTTTTATATGTGATGCATGGGTTAAGTCTGTGGGCATCGACTGCGAATTTGTTGTGCACAGCATAGCTACCTCAAAACTAAGCTCTCTTCACATTAATCTCAGTCATTATAAGCATTAGATCCTGCAGGTCTAAATCACGTCATAACAACCGACCTTGCTATCTCTGCGGAACAGAGTCTGCTGTATTTAGACGCTAATAGTCGTTTAACCGGTAAAGAAATTCACCGTCCTTTATGGAACCAAAATGTCATTACCACTTTTGAAACAGCCTGCCACTGGACTCTGCCCTAAACCAGGTGAACCAGATAAACCTCACACCCTATCTCTTTGTGGAGTTAATTAGTTGGTGGCTTGTAAGCTGTTCACATGGGGATAGATTTTGGTGCAATTCAACCCTTATATGGTGAGTTTTCCACTGAGTAGATTACACTCGCACACTAGGTCTTACAGCGTAGTCAAAATAATGAGTAAGTCTGATTTGTAGGGTAGTTTCCCACAGTAGATATTTTTAGTTAAAGTTCCCCTAGCTAGAATAATTTCGAATTTCACAGGGTAAATCTAGGAATGTGCTGAAAGTTATCTAGCTAAAGGTTATGTAAAAGATTGCTAGTGTTGTTCTGCTCTACACTATTTGGCAATGTAAACGTACGCAGGATACTCTAGCAGCCGTCTCTAGCTCTGTTTAATTAAACAGAGTTCTCTGCTCTAGCTAGGTTTAGCTTGTCATTTGTATGTCTCATTTAGTTGTGATTTTTGTTTATTTGTATCATAAACGTAAGTCTTTCATTACTAACAAAAATAAAACGTCAAACGTTTGTAGAAAGTAGCAAGTGGGTTAAAGAAAAAGCTTTTTTGTTAATGGAGAACATTTCCAAGAACTATGACATTTTCAATTATAATTATAGCTTTCCGTAAGTTTCTTCTGCTTTATGAAGTCTGACCATGGTGCATTACACTCTGTAATAGATGTGTGGTTTGACTTTGTCCGCGTCGTCGTTATTTCAGTAAAATTACCACTTTTCGGAAGCTGGTTCGTCATTCTTGCTATGGGTACTTCTGCGTTGAAGCTGTCCAGGTCTGACGCTGCCTCAACCAGGGTGCCCAAGAACTAGGGCTTTCGTCCTTTTCTCTTTACCCGAAGATGAAATAAAATCCAGCTTTCAGAAAGATGTTATTTGATTGAAATATAAAAGATGGGGAACGTCCAAAAAACCACCCTTGTTTGTCTCTTCTTGCAGTTCACTTTCTATTTCACATTTGTCGGCACTTTTCTACTCGGTGATGCATCATACCTTTTTCTAGAGTAATCTAGTAAGAGTCACTCTTCAGTAATTTAGAAAGAGTCAGTCTAGTTATTCCTAGAGTGCAGTTTTGTGCTTCAGAGTGCAATAATACCCAAAAAAGTAACAAAATCTTGCTAGAGTAAGCAGGCACTAGCAAGATTTGCTCTACATTTAACCCT